TTGGAGAGGTTTGTCTACTATTATGCAACTCAAGAAAAAAAAAATTGGGGGTTAAAAACGTCAAGCATACCAGTTTGTGTAGCTAAGCCGCACAGTTTTTCTAATTGGTTATAAGGGATCTCAATCCCAGTTCTTTGTAGCTAGATTAACCTCAGGGGCTGGGAGAAAATTTATAAAAATTGAAAAAGAAAATGATGCCTAAAATATATGACAAACATATCAAAGAAAATCCAACTAATATAAACAACTAACAATAATGCACTTGCAATCGTAAGTTGTACAACAATTACCATGGATTTGAAATAGAAATACACAATATATCTGACTTATGTCAGAAGCAAAAACCTCTTAAAGCATAACCCAGATCATGGCTCTATTTTCCACACCAGGAGGTCCTTCAAATATATGAGGACCATATACTCCCTCTTTCATAACTCAATATTACAAATTGAATAGTCTATATAACCATTTAAATTCCAATTAATAAGTTTGAATTGAATTCTTTAGAAAGAGAATTAATCTAACCTAATCTTGCAGATGAAATGTTAATTTTGGTGGCATCCTTATGAAGAAGAACTAATCTAACCCTAAATCCCTGCATATGCATGGCATACCATTGCAAATCCAAATCAGCACACTCATTCATCACTAATGGCTTTTCATGGGCACATGTCATATAAGCTTTGCTAGATGTGGTAAGGCTAATTTAAAACATCAATAGTTGATCATCCTGAGAATTCAAGAACTTAATTTAGTGGGAAACTGATTAGTTCCATTTCAGTTCAAAATAGATTAAAGAAAGCAGGAAAAGTTTTCATTTTGGCTAAATCACCATTAGCATCAGGGACAACAACTGAAAGGCACACATTTTTAGGCACGGTCCTAACCTTGTGTGAATTATAACGACAGACTTGATAGTTAGAGACATAGCTAACCTAGAGTGAATTATTTTATAAATAGGCATGTGTGTGAAATCTTAGATAATGTTAATGATGTGCATCAATGAATACAAAATGAGTTTAAACTTTAAAGTAAAACAGAAGTGGCTTACTTTGTAGCTTCTTCTGTAGTAGTGAAGATTGGCTATGTGACTGCCTATAAAGTGGTTACCCAACTCTGTAAGCTTTGGAGACAGCTATCAACTGGTTTCCTGCATGACTTCAAATGGAAACACATCAGTCTTCTCATCCACAATTGGTGAAGAGACTCCAATTTAATCTAATAGTCGGGCTCAAGATTGATTGAAAAAGAGGAAAAGAAAAAGGCTTTGAACTTTGTTACTCAAATATCCTGTCAATTGTAGCGCTATAGGGCGGTGTGACAGTTAAGAAGGAAGCCATTCTGCTAATTCAAAATCTGATATCTTTAACCCAAATTTGAGGAAAAAACCACAGACGCACACATAATTAGGCTTGAAATTCATAATACAATAATTGATATAGAGGGAAAACTAAAAGCTAAAATAGAGTAATTTCACATGTGTACCTACAGCTCAAAAAATGTAGTAAATAGAACGTCTGAAGCCTTGATACCTTGGATTATCCTTTTACAACAGGATTTATGCAAGCAATGGAAGCTGTGCCATGTTTTCCAATCAATTAGAGCAAAGTAATTTAAAATTTTATATTCATAAAAAATTCAATTCAAAAATCTAATTTAATCCTTAACAAAATTCACATAGGTAGTCTATGATTAATGGACATAGAATGATAACTTGCAGAGGGAAAAGGGTATCTAAATGAAGAAGATAGAAAGGGTTCTCAAGAGAAAGACAATCACATATGCCTATCCAATAACTTCCCAGAGATAGAAGCATAGAATCCTATTCTTATTTGGCCAATTTTAGGCTAATTGACGCCAAGTCCAAAACAAACCCAGAAAGTTGGGTAATTTTCTTCAAGCAAGCATCAACACTTCATTCACACATAAAATATCATCAGTGAGTTAGTATTGAGTTGTGAAAATCATGATTGTTGCAATTTCAAATATGTCATTCACTGGTTAACAGATTTTTTAGAGAGAAACAATTGAAGATAAACAAATTAGCAATGAACCCTAACTTGAATCAAATTCTTAATTATCAACTAAATTATAACATTCTCCGTCCCTAGTTCTAATTCCCAGTGTCCTGTATATATATGTAAAAGAGTTAAATCAGAATCAAGTGTTGTAATCTCCGAAAAGTCAAGGAGAAAATTTTGTTGTAGAAACTAATGGGTTAAGTTATAACTAATTTCCAGCAAACAATGTAAAAACTGTGTCTAAAATGAAAAGTAAAACACAAACAAGCTCTTTGCTCTTTTCAAACAATGTAATCTCTTTGATAATTAACACAATGATATGCGAAGGAGCTGTTGGGCGGGGATTGTGTGACCTTCTCCCCTCAGGCGAGGTCTGTTGTCTCTTTCTATTTTGTTGCCTGGTGGTTGCGATTCTCCTAGGCTCCAATCGGGGGAAGCCCTGAGTTTCACCTTGTTTGGATTGAAGAAGTTGGAGGGGAAGGAAAGTAGAGTGAGGAGAGAAAACACCTCTTTCTTTTTGTTTGGATAAAAAAGAGGAGGGAGATGGAGGAAGACAGGCCCCTCCCTGCTCTGTTTTCAATCCATTGCATTTGGAGGGATTGGGAATTTATTTTAATTATTTATTTAATCAATAAATTTTAAAAATT